ATTTTATCCATTCTAATTGCGGGTGGCTTATCGCGTAAAAGGAATCAAGTGGAATGTGGTACACTTTTGACAAATGCATCGTGAATACTTAAACGTCCTAGTCGCATTCTAGCAAAGTTGAACAGAATTAAATAGTGATAAAGCGCTTGAAAACGTCGAGCTGTGAATTAGAATTTTACGGCAGTTCTGGAAACACTTTAAAACCGACCGATGCCTTTCCTACACTTTGCTGCCGGTACACGCGAGGACCGAATTATGAACCCGGCGCCGTGAGAAGGAGAGAAGAATTTCGGTGCGTTCGTGCGGTGGACAAGGAAGAGGCGAGTACGGCCATAAAAACTTTGGAGCGTTTCCATTATTCCGAGAGAGGAAGTAAAACGCGCCGAGAAAGAGCGACTGTGGGGTTTTAGAGGGTTTTCAACGCTGGCGCGAGCTTGTTACATAAATCGCAAAAGGTTGATACGAAAATGAGAATCTACTTTTATAACGCTCTCTCGTCTCGCGCGTGTCCTCTTAAATTTTGCGAAATAAGATTAAATATGCGCGTTTCCTTGATATCGCGTTTACGCGCGTTTATATATTAATTAAGCGAGAATAATAGAAATGGAGAGCAAATTATGTAAAGTGTGGAAAGAGTTAATTTCGCGACGTCGAGAGAGATATTTTTAATCGTATTATGCGCAAGCTACAAATATACATTTTTCAGTTTATTAAATTTCGCGAAATTTTCATGAAAGAAGCTTCCTTAGGTTTGTTCTTTTTTTTTATTCCGCCCGCGCAATTTGTTACTGCGAATGGTTCCGTCCAGCCCGACTTTCCTCTCTTTCAAAGCGAAGCCTCCGGCGAACATTTTCAATTTTCGCTCCTCGTACCAATTCGAACGAGCCATTCGGCGAACAATTAGTCGCCGAACGATTTGATTAGCGATTGTCATCGACAAATTTTTTTCCGTCCCCCGATACGCGGAAAAAGCTCACGACCGACCAACGGGCAGATCATTTTCATGCGGCAATCCCAATTTTTTATTCGGCCAATTACAACGTAATTCTTCAATCGCCGCGCGAATGCAGAGTCCCTCCAAACAATATTCGGTGGCCGCGTCGTATTCGAGTAATTTTTTTCAGTTAATTATTTCTCTTCCCGAATATTTCTCCTACGATATTTTTCCGTTACAACAAGCATTTACAAAAAAAACCAATCTTGCAGCCAATAGATCGCTCGCTCTGTTGACCATTAAAAAATTCATCACTCATATCTGTATGTTTTTGTTTCGAATTCACAAACAATACTCAGTGAAATTAGTAAGATTCGAAACGCATTTCAAAAACTTCAAGTATCGCTTATTACTTATTTTTTTTCCAAAATATATAAAAATTCGAATAAATGTACATTTGCATATACATCGTCTGCATTTATATCAATAGAGTGCATACACACGGTGTAATGATCACAGAGCATCGATGTGATTTCACGAGTCAAAAATACAACATCATATCCCAGTCTTCCCTCTACATTCGAGACCAATAAAGCAATAAACGGCGAGATTTTTGATATAAAATCCAGCGCTCGAGCGATCTCTCTCTCCATGAGGGGACGACGCGCGTAGAATCCGCGGAATCTGGAGCACGAAACGACACGACGAACCGGCACGAAAGGGCGCGGGAAGGCAACGCCGGAGGAGCGGGTTTCGACGGAGGTGGATAGGGCCGGGCGAGGAGAGCGAGAGAGAGCGAGCTAGGGAAAAGAGAGACGACGAAACAAAGCGGCGTCCCTTTGTCCCGCGCGCTCGGTGCAGAGCTCGCATCGCTCTCGCGCGCTCAGCCAGGCGCACTTCGCAAAGAGCGCGTCGCGAGACTCTTGTTGTCCCCGCGATATTACTTCCTACATTTGCGCAAACTATATCGTGTCGCGGCAGAGACACTGCTGCCGTCGCTGCTGCTGCGAACGCTCGTTCTCTCGCACTTTTGTTCCCGCTTAACTTCTAATGCACGCCCGCGACACGAGAGATAACTATTAATCAAAGACATAAGCGGGGGGAACCGGCAATGGGAGAAGAGGAAGAGATGTTCACCTAGTTACGCCACCGTTATTAATTGCGATCCACTATAGCGATATTTTTTTTTCACAGCGAAAGCGACGGTTCACTAAGAGAGTAGTCTCGCTCGAGAATGACAACTGACGCGATTGTGAAACGTAACCATGCGAGGCGGTCGTTTTCTCTTGTTTGAAAGAGTTGAATCATTCCGCAAAGATGACTATTTTTTTACGTGACTGAAGTTTATTCTTATCGAACGAAAATTAAATAAATAAAACAGAAGTAAACGGAGGAGACCGATGAAAGAGGCTATTATTTTTTACTATCATAATACGTTATATACTTCACTGAAACAAAGATAAAAGTGTTGCCAATTAATGAATTCTCCATCCTCTTTTTTCACTCGCAACGAAAAATTGTGAAAGCTACTCCCCGATGTTTTCCCTGATGATCCGACCTCTTTCCAGTATCCCTCGAGTTCTTCGTTTCTTTTTTTTTTTTTCATGATATTCTAGACCTGCGACTACTATCCTGCAGATGCATCGTCCGACGCGCGTCTTAAAACAACGGACGACTCTCGCGAATAACTATTTCGTCTTTTATTATCCTTTTCGTGAAGGATCGAGTTACAGAATTACGAGCGCGACGCTCGCCAACGTGTATTCGTTTATTTGGTTGGCAAGCGAAGAGAATGATTCGCTTTCTACAGGTCTAACTTTCCTGGCATCATCATCGTGGCACTGACAATCCGTTGTCACGCGGAATACGCGAAACACGTAAAATACAAGAGAAAGTGTAATTATACCGAAAGAATTACGTTTATGAGAATTTAACGCTTGTTTCACTTTTTTAAGTAATTAATAATATTTCTAAGGCGGGAAAAATACTCTTCACATTCATCTACGTCACGAGCGTTCTAAATGGCGTCTGCAGCCTTTCACGATATTGACGATACATCAAAATCCCTTTTAACGAAGTTATAATTATGGAAATGCGGCGTTTATATTCGTTTTTATGTCAAGTCATCCACTTATGACAGATTCGTCTTACGACGTACGTTAATGAGGCACGAATCTTCATCTCATGCAGTCGTTTGTGCCGGCCGCGTCTTTCGACCGCAGAGAAGGAGGCAATAAATAACCGCTAAATGGCCGCGCATAAATAGTCGATCATATGCCGCGACGATTACGGTTGATTACGCGTCCGCTATTAATAGAGATAGTGTCACCGCTTTCTTCGCAACATTATCACGTGGAAACTGTATCACGATCTAATGACAGTTAATTTCCACTCATTTCCATTAAAAGATCGCTAATGACACGCTGTTATCCGGCGTAGAGACGCCCTTCGGGGACCGTGCCAACGGCTGGAAGCTAAAGACGTTATACTTATCGTAATATGCGAAGCTGTTTTAAATTTCTTTAGTGGCACGCAATGCGACCAGTTTCCTGTTAAATAACAACGTTCGTAACGATGCCTAACTTAGACCAATTACGTTTAATAATCGACCGCAATTGTCAGTTGTTTTGCGCGATTTTTAAAGAAATATAGTACATTATTGCCAATCTACTATGCACATCTTAAGAATATTATCGGCAAAAAAATAATCGAAACATAATTACATTTCATTTCCGTGATTCTTATCGGATTAACTGCATCTGTTAGCCATCGCGCGATAATTGCGTTTCGCTTGATATTTAAAGAAGCATGACACATTATCACGTGTCTCTGCGCATCTCGAGAATATTCATCAAAAATTTATCGGCACGAATCTGTATTCAATATTCACGATTTTTCTCGTATCAACCGCATCGTTGTATTAGTCATCGCGATAATTATCGGCCGTTTCGCGCGATGTTATGTTAAAAATAAATATCATGTATCAACGTCGTCTCGAGAATACTCGCGGTGAAATTATCAAGCCACGACGACGCTTAACTTTTCCGATTCTCATTGGATCAATTATGACGTTCTATTAGTCACCGCGATAATTATCGGCCGTTTCGCGCGATATTAAGAGGAATCAGTATACGGCGCATTATTGTCGCCGCTTCATACGTCGCACGCTTCGAGTATACTCGTGAAGAAACGATCGTGCCACTTTGTGCCCCTTGAGCGGAGCGGCGCCACATCAGCGTCAATAAGCAAACGAGTGGTGCCCACATATCGCCCATTGGCCGCTTCTATGAACGGCAATTGTTGTACGTTGACTTGCGGGCTCTATAAATAATCCCCACAATTTCTAACGGCCGCCTCTCTGTCCCTCTCTCTCCCATTCTACGTCTGTGTATCAGCAAATTCGCCGGTGGTCTCGTTTCGTCGTAAGGGACTTTGAGCTTGCGCGACGCGTGAAATTATGACGGTAAAAAGAGCGGCACGAGCGGAGGTGGTGGTGGCGACGGCGGAGAGGGACGGAGTGCGGGGAACAATCAAACATTCTTCGAATTAGCAACGCGAAGTGCGAGAACGGCCGGCTCGACTCCCACGTGCTCTTTCGCTTCTCTGCTACACGCCGAGCGGTAATTACACTATATTACCCTTTGACGCTCGTTACAGTGGATAAATAAAAAAAATGTTAAAGATAACGGTGTAAGAGCGAAGAAATGCGGTAGTGCTGCGGGAAATTCACAACACCGCTAGACTGCTAATTCCGCGTGAGCCCATTACATTATCGCGTTAATTCGTTAATTTCGCTACACGTCAAATTGAAATTTCTGCCGGATTAAAAAGTTTGTTTTAAATTAAACAAACAGTAAGACTTTGCTGTCCGTATGCGTGTCCAAGCATAAATTTGTTAGATCTCTCCAATTTCCATTTTCTTTCATTAGTATATTGAATCCTTACATTTTTCATTCCGCGCTAATTATGCTACTTTATCTTCATATATATCTCTATGTTCCACCGACGGCACTATCGATTTCTCCATTTCGAAAAAAAGAGATGTGAGGCATATGTGAGTACTTACGGGAGCGGCGGGATGTCTCGCCGGCGCGGGGTACATCTTAACCTTGGGCAATTGCTTCTTAGAAATCGCTGCAGCGTTCACGATACACTACGCACACGATCATTTCACCATGCGTTCGTGGACTCGATCCTGGCGATGGCATCCTCGTGATCCGAAAGTGACTCCATTTGACGACGCTCGCAGTTCTAGATCGACCTTCTTTCCATGCACTGTTCACAGCACAACGCGATTCATCGCGGCTACTACTTTATCGCGAACCGAGTACACTTCTCTCATCGATCGAATTTCTACGGCAAACGGTTTCGCGAATCTCGACTTTAAGTTCGACGTACGTTCACGGCATTTTCCTCATATCTTCGCGCGTTGTTAAAGCCTCGTGCATTGCGGAGAGACTCCTTTCCTGTTGGAGAAAATATCATTTTTTTACTTCCTTGTTCTTTCATAATCTTAAATAATTTAAGGAAAGCTGTAACATAAAAACGATATCAAAAAATTAACTTCAAATACGTGAGTAAAAGACATAAATCAAAAGATTTCTGATAATATTCTCTGTTGGAGGCCGAGTCGAAAAATATTTGTTCGCCGCCATTTAAATTTCCTTCTCCGAGGAGAACGGCGTTAAAAGTATTCTCTATTAACCGCGCTGTATCTCGCAGGGACCATGCGTTCCCATTTCATCGGCGTGGCGCGGCGCGCGTGTGAGCAGAGCTTTACGATGGCGAGCGATCAATTTATCGTTCGATTTACGAGGCGCGTAAACTGCGCGCCCCGTCGCCGCTCCAGGAGCATTTATCCTAATCTTCGAGGCGTGTTTCGAACCGGGGACAAAGAGCAAAAAAAAGCGAGAGAGAGAGACGAAGAGGATAGAAAAGCGAAAAGAAAGCGCGCCCACCGTGTATATATGTATATCGGGTGCAAAGCTGCCGGCTGAGCGCAACGTCACGTTTCAGGATCTACGACGCATTGATTACAATGCAATTTTCAATGGACCACGGCGGCGGCCGCGCGGTGCATTACGAGCGATGGCGGGCGAAGGCTCGGCGCGACGACCATTATTGCAAACGTGTCAAACATGTCGGATAAATTCTGCAATAAAACATCGCGGAAAACGAAGCGGAACGATCGCGCACGCTTCTTACGAGTCGGTGAACAGCGAATTAGAGACGAGAGAACGATGATGGAAATCCGAAATGAAAATTGCTCATTAATGCTTTGCGCTTATCGCGGCATTTCACCACGTCGTCTACCGTGTCGGCGGGACAATAACGCAAAAACTCTTTGTCGAGGGTTTAATGTTAAATTGAAGGCTTTTGCATAAAACGAGCGACCGCGTCCCTCTCTTTTTTTTTTTTTTTATTAACCGACGAATAAATTCCCAAATTTTTCTTCGCGGAATAGAATGTGATAATAATAACTGATTAACACTTGATTAACTTGAATCAATTTTTTTAACGAGAGAAGAAAACAATCGCCGATCTATTTGCGTTTATCACACGATCTAGTCGCGCTTACCACACAGATACTTAAATAAATTGATATCAATGAATCGATACATGTTGTATTCCAACGGCGTTTCATTGCATGTCGTAGAACAGCCAATGCCGACGACGCGAGGGAGCGGTAGGAAGCTAAAGCGGGCGTGCAAACACTCAACCGATGGATGCACCGGCCGTTGCCGGCGACGGTTATGCTAGGTTAGTTTAGGCCGTAGCTTAATTTCCAAGTAGAGAATTGGCCGTTCAACAACAGGCGGGCGGACGGACGGACGGATAATTTGCGGTGCTCCCCCTCGCGCGCGCGCTCACTCGTTCACTCTCTCTCTCTCTTTCTCTCTCTCCGACAGATTGCCGTGCGCGATTTCAGCACCGTTTATTTTAGCCGCATCGCGCCGCAGGGCGGGTCGCGCGCGAATTATGGAAAACATTTTTGCGATTTGCACGCTTCGCCGAGGAGGGTCCCCGGTCCAAAAACCAACGTCCGCGCGTGGCCGGGGCCGTGCAACGTCGCCTATTATTTTCACGCTTTTACCGCGCCGCGCGATCGCATATACATGACGCGTCATTACGGGCTCTTTGTAACGCGGGATGATGTTTCGTGTAACGCGCAAAATGGAGTCATATAACCGCGTTAACAGTCCATTCTCCGCGGATAATGTATTTCGCCGGCAATATATGTGCAGAGATACACGTATATATAAATATATATATTTATATACACGCACACCCACAGGTGTAATGCGCGCGTGCGCCAGCGCGAAAAATTCGCCCAAGCCCGAATTTGAGCCGTCATTTCCATCAATTTGCAGCAAATGCGTTCGGCGGAACGATAAAAACTTTTCGGCTTGATACGCCGGGCGTGTGTGACGTCGCGGCGCGTCGCGCCCCGTCGGCAAACGCCACCGCCGCTGCCACCGTGCGAAATTAAATCCACCCCCTCCTGTATTTACGCAAACGTTGGAAAAAAGTTTCGTCGCGTTCTCTATCGTCTTGCGAGGCAATAAAGCGCGGTGCGAGACGATAGAGATCGTAGATCCGAATCGCAATCATTTTGGCAAGTTCAGATTTCGACGCAATCAGTGATAACCGAGTTATGACCGATAAACTGCGTCATGAAACAGCTGTGAAGCAATCTGACATGACATGCGATTGGTAAAAAAAAAATTGTACAAACAAATATTCGGTGTTTCTACGCTACGTATAAAAAAAGATTGAATTTGCTTTTTGAATGTGTTTTAAGCGTTTTTCGTATCTTATCTTCCTAATGTAAAAAAATGCAAGAAAATTTGACTCCTATCTCAATAAATTTACGTTACGTCTCAGCGTGCAATGCAAATAACGCAAGTTACCGTTGAGAAAACCTAGAAATCGCGTTTTTACGCTCTTAAAGAGCTTGCCAAGCTTGTCCGCGTGTTTCGGAGAAAAAAGGAAACCAGCGCGGGTCGCAACGAACGGACGAGTCACGGAGGAAGTTATCACGAATCTCTCGCGTAATCGGCCCTCGGCCGATCCTTAACCACCACGCGATCGCCCCGTGATTTCTTTACCCTCCCGATCGTTATCGCGACATGGCCGAGCGGCGGCGCACAATGCCGTGCGGATTAAAGGATTCTCCACACCGGACACGCCGGTACCGCGCTTTAATTATCGGGTACCGCGAAGTGATACCGCGCGCGCCGTTCACGAGTCTCGCGATTTCGTTACGTACAAGCAAGGATATGCGAAATAGTCGCGTCACGCGGAACGTAGTATTCCATTTTCTACGCATTCAATAAGTTTGATTAATTTATCTGCAAAATTGCAATAAATTGTAAAAATAAACTAATTTTGGCGATTATAGTACAACGCAGAAACAATATTTTACAATTAAAAGATAATAGAAATGTAAGTAATATATGTTAAATAGTAATTTTGATTGTTCATATTGTTACGATTGTGTTACTTCGGTTAGAAACGTATAAATAATAAAATAATAAATAATAACAACAATAAATAATAATTGATTGATAAATAATAATTAGGTCATTCGGTAATCGTTTCCACGCGTATGCTGTTAAACCGTCGATTTTACAAAGCATAACGTTTGTTCGCGACCGGCACGAAAGCAGAAACTATTGTGCTGGCGATAAAGCCAACTCCGAGCGGCGGCACTATGCGTCGTTACGACGGTGTCCTAATATTCCGCATACTTACGATACGGCCGATTGTGCCTCTATTAGCGGTGCGACGACGACACGTAGTTCGTAAAATACATGTATCGTAAAAAGCCTTATCGTGGAGAGCGCGATAATTGTACGGCGAAAAGAAAGAACTTAAATGTGATTCGCGACAATTGAGAATAAGCGTGTGCGAAAATTCTATTTGAACAGCGGATTAATAATTACGAAATTTCACATGAACAATGGATCGAGGGCTATAAAATTCTGTTTGAACAGCGTATTCACAATTATACGAAACTTCGTTTGAACAGTGAATTAATAACCGCCTAATTGTGTTACTCCGCCAATCTGTATTATTACCGGTCAATTTGGAATGAGCAAACATCCGAAGTACAGTTCTAAATTAGAACTTGTGTTCTCAATTATTTTTCGGCGACCTTCCCAAGTTCCTACGTGAATTATAACGTTTATTACGGCACGACGGTAACGTAGTACATTCGCTATGCTCGGCACGAGAAGCTCGAGGCGAAGACCGTTCGCAATTTACGAGATATGTACACGTAAAAGTTTCGCAAACCTTACACGACAAAGAGAACGGAGCTGAGCGGCGAAGAGCGGCTTGTCGATCGTCTCCGACGATTTTACGTGGCGTGTACGTCGATTACCCCTAACATCGTTAACCCGCCTCTTCTCCGCGCCACTCTCGACTATTCTCATCGTCGACTTTTACCGATAATACATGAAGTAAAAAAAAAGAACAGGCAATTTAATTATTTGCTTAGCTCTCTAGAATCGGGAAGTGAAACCGGCATTAAAAGATTTAAACGAAATTGCTATCGTCACACGCAATAAAATTCGCATCTTTTTGATCGGCAAGTTACGTTGTTGATAAACTTTTCAACGTCTATTCAATCATTCAACAGTTACTTCCGTTAATGTAACTGATGTACTATGCAAAATTGATCAATCTAAGTCGATTAAGTTTCAATACATCGAGAATTAGTTATCTACATATTTAATGTTACGTTAAATTAAAAAATTGTGAGAGAAAATAACATCGTTTACTCGATTTTCTGTTGAAAAAAGTTGATTTCAAATCGATTAAAGAATGCACTGCAAAGTTTGTCCGCGTTCCTAAATGATTTAAGACATCATTTAAATTCACATTATGGTAATGTAACGTAATTATGATAAAAGACCAGGTTATCTATCTTCAATAACTTATTAAGCGTTTCGCAATGAAACGGGACGTAAAACTTGAGAAAATTGACACCTGATCGTTAAAAGTCTTTGGAGTGTGGCCGTTTCGATTTAGGTCACATACAAAGGTGCACTTACGTTCATCTATCGTCGTAATGTTAAGTCATCGCGAGGCTTAAAATGTTAATCACTTTTGTCTATCCATCTTCCCAATAACCTATTAAGCGTGTCGCGATAGAACGCCGAGGATCGGTAAACGAGGGGCAAAGATTCGGAGCAGACACCGGGGGCCCGTTGTTCGAAACTCAATTAACGATCCCGAGTTCGGCTTGGGCGCAACGTTTTCTCGGAAGAAAGCGCGTATCTTATCGATCAAGAAAGCGGAGCGGTGGGAATTAAGCCTCGATCAGAGGAGAGGGAAGGATTAGTTTTTGCGGGTGATTCGCCGCTGATCCTCGGCTTCCCTCGTTTCGCGAATGGTGTTCGAACGCCGTAATTATTAGCCCCGAACCGGCGAACTCGAGAGCGAGAGATTAACGGGATAAACTTAACGTGACGTATCACACGATCGGCACGAAGCGAAAAAATCCTCTTTCTCGTCACGAGAGTAATATAATTGTCATCTATTATCCGCGCTTCGTCGATATTTTGCGCGAGAGACAACGCGTCACGCTCCAAAGCTGACCGCATAACCAATGAGGACACGTGACTTCGCGCGCCGCTAACTATCGCAACTTGGCGCGGATCCGTTTTTACTCGTGGGACTCTCGCGACGCTTCGAAAAAGTCATTAATTGCAATTCGAGATGCAGACAGTAGCCGCGTTGATGTGACGCGTGAACTATACCTCGAAGGATCCATGGGAAGTCGCGATTCTAGATCCCGGCTGTAAGAACGATTGTTCGCCACGAAATCCGCCGCGTCTCCGTCCTTAATCCGTCTTGGCACTGCGGCGAAAAAGCATTCGCATTTCCTGCCGCACACTCTCCCCGCGGTCTCTCTTCCCTCTTTAGTATATCTTCTACTCTCTCGCTTCGTCTCGCACTGACACTTTCGTAAAAGAAGACGCGTAGTCGACGCACGTCTGTGTCGAACGTTTCTGTACCGACAGCCGCGACCGGGAACGAGCGGGCGAGCGTCACAACCACGCCGCGCAACGTACGACGCTCGACTGCGAGCCGGGTAGTACCGAAGTGGATGACGGGAACGTGTGAACGCCGCTTGCCGCCGCCGCCACCACCGCGCCGCGCGCCGCGAACACACCAACGAACGACGACCAACACCAACCGCCGCGGCGGGTCCACACCGACGCATCAATGAGAGCGAGCGCATGGATACACACATCCGCAGACACACAAATGCACATACACAACGTCTCTGAACGGCAGTGGCAGCTCCGCTCCGTCTCGCTTCCACCGCAAGCTGTCCTGCCTCCACTCGTCGCCTCCCGCGCGAGTCAAGGGCGTCGACCGTTGGGGGCGAGAGATCGTTCCGTCGTCTCGCCGAGTTTTGTGGGTTACGAAGAAGAGAATCTGTACTTCTCTTTGTGGCCCCGCTCTTCCCGAAGGCCGTTAAAAAGATTCAATCTACTACTCCCGCCGGTTCTCTTCATCCTACGCTCTTTTCCTCTCTCTTTCTCTTTCGCTTTATCCGTCATTCGTGAATTTTGATCGTGGTTTTTAGGATAATCAATGTCCATCAACGGTTCTCGCAACGGTCACGGCAACATTATTGACACGCTGACAATTATTAGATCATTTCTATTTCGATTTGAATTTCAACTACTGTCGCAACTTCAAACAACGGGATTACAAAAATTAGAAGCAACGCTATGCCAACGATGCTAATGTCATTAGATCGAACTTGATATTAATGTGAAATCACGACGTATGCATTTTTTTTTTCAATCAGACACGATAATATTTATACGAATGCCTACATTTCGAAGTCGCGACTTTCTAACGACGATTCTTAATCACGCGAGGATCAACGAGACTCAGCGCAGCGTATTAATATATTCGCTGTCGTGTGGCACGTGCGGCAAGTTTAGAAAACTCTTTATCGACACCCCTGCTTTTCGCGCTATGATCATCGCTCTCGCTCTCGTCCGCGCCGCCACAGCATCTTCCTCTCTTCGCACTCTCGTGCCACGGATATGCCTCCCCTCGCCGTGCTCTGTGGCGCTCGTTGCCTGCCTCTCGTCGTTCTCTGTCGCGCCGCCGCGTTTCTTAATCTTTCGCTCTCTCGTGTCGGTCTCTCCTGTCATCCCGCTCTCGCCCGTTTCTCGCTCGCTCGCTCGCGCCCCCGCAATCCACAGACCAGAGATGCAGCGGGAATGCCGAATGTCGGGCTGTGTGTGTGTGTGTGTGGATATACATGTGCATACGTATACGTGCACATGTGTGTGCGCGACTGCGACGCGACAGAGACGGAGAGAGTCAAAGTGGCGGAGAGCGCCGGACAACACGAGTCATCCGGCAACGTAAGTAGAGAGCTCGGGCGTGGGTGTAACCGCCGCGAGCGTGTGAGTGACGGGGAGAGTGCGAGAGAGTGTGCGAGGGAACGCGCGAACGCCTACAGATGTACGCGTATACGTGTGTGTGTGTGTGTATGTGCAGTCGCGTATAAAGTTCGCGCATACGTACGCCGTACATGTGGTGCTCATCATATTACACACCGCTCATGCATCGCGTCCGCCGCTGCCGCCGCCGCGTTGCTTTGAGGGCGCGCGCGAGGAGAGATGAATCCTCGATTCGGTTAAACGCCCGCCGACCGGGGGATGCTCTAAATCACGACTGTCTACCTGAGCAGCCCGGCTTTTCGAAATTCCAATACTCAACCGAGCCGGGTGTGGGAGAGCGAGACGAGACGAGAGCGAGAGAAAGAGAGGGAGAGAGAGCGCGCGAGAAAGCGGCCGCGACTATTGCACCGATGCGTTTTCCTGCGCATCTCGTCGCGAGATATATGTCTTCCTCGCTGGCGTGATCGATCATGAATAGAAATCGACGGGATGCGATGCCCGCGATGCAGTATCGTGTTTCGCTTCGAGTCGGTATAATGGAATCAGAGATATTGAAAAATTCTTAAGAATTCTAGTTTGAAGTGATACATAAGCACACTGTCCCTCTTTCTTGTTTATATAAATGCAAAGCGTCGAATATTATAAATTAATTGAAATTCATGGTTGAAACTGTTGCAAGTTATTCGAAAACATTCAGTATAATTATGTAATAGCATAATCGAACAAAGTTCGACGAGACGATAATAAATTAAATGTTGACGAGTAACAGCGCCAGAAAAGCGTCACAAGGAAATGCAAATAAGCGTTTATTGGCAAGTATTCCAGCATATCAGATACATGTTCTCCGATCCGCCTACTCGCGTATCGCAATTTATCATTACGATTTATATGAAATTTCAATCATGAGAGCTACTCGTTGCATCTCATCCACATACAATTGTCATAAAAAAATATATGTGCGTATCACTGTAATATCTATTCCATTGTAATATCTACATACTGCTTTTATATATTTTAAATATCCATTTACAACAGTATCATCTGAATATCAAATAAAATTCTAGTGGAAAATTTTTCGCGCAACGCCTAAAATAACGCGCGCGAACAACCGGATTGAAAAAACACCGGTTTCGACACACAATTCACGTTATCACAGTGCGTGTTTACTGTAGACACTCAATAGCAGCGCTGATTCGAGGCGAGCAAGTAGCTGACGATCGCGACGGAGTTCGTAGCTGGTCATCACGCGTCCGGGGCGGCCGGACAAACGATCGCTAATCTACGCGTACGTGATCGCGATGCGAACGCGCCTGCCTGTCCGCCGACTTATTGTCATTCGGCCTCAGTCGGTGTCGGCGGCGTCGCAATTTGCGAGAATGTGGTCGCTCGATCGCGTAGAATTGGACCGACGTCCGTCCGTCTCTTTCTGCTTGCTCTTCGTCGAAGCAGCCGCAAGCCGCAACCCGCTGCACTTTTGATCGCGCGCGCGCGCGCGTGACACACGTGTGTTTATTATCCTCGCACACGGCCGACCGAACCACGGTCGCGTATAACCATATTTACGGCTGCGCCGTCTGTCACGTCTGTATGGATGAGCGTATGTACGTGTATGCGTGAAGGAGAGTTGCCGCGAGTGTGTGCGAGGGAGTAACTTCGAGGGGAAACCGTCGTAAACGCAATTGGAAATTTTTAGTGAATACACTTCAGCGTGTTTTGTGTCCGCGAAGAAGTCGCACGTCGACAACGCGAACGGAGAAATTTATTTTCTCGTGGGAACTTATACCTTGAGCATGTAATAAACGTATCTATATATATGTGTGTGTGTCTATTTAAAAGAGATATACCAACGCAATAGAGATAGAAGTACGAATAATGGCAATTGTACTCTTCGCTAACATAATAACAAAATCGACATTTCTCTTTAATGCATGAATTTTAGCAGTAAATAAGAAATACGAGGAAAAATAAAAAAATAAAGAGACTTTTGTTGGAGTTTTATTCCTTAAATATCTTTACTTTTTGTCTTTCCCTCGCAATTATATAAGAAATAATATTTGTTTATATAACGATGAATAACCTTATAATTTAATAATTTGTGCAAAAATATTTTTAGATTTCCGGCATACAATCTTTCCACGTTGAGAATAAATCGCGCAAACAATTATTACGGATCGAACCGAAAAAGCTTGGGAATTAATTGACTTGTCGGAGTGACGTTTCCTTCCGCGGTGACGCCTGACGATTTGCTCGCAATTTGCATGATTTTCGCACGAAAGCAAAGGTCGTGGCAAATAACATCGTTTCGCTGTACGCGCATTTTCTTGTCGCGTGACTAATAACAAGCCGCTCTTCGAGTTCGTCCGTAGCTATTTAGCCGATAATTATAGTGAGTATTACACGGCTCTCTGGTGACTCTCTTTGTCGAAGAAAATCGATATCTACGAGAGTGCAAGTACACGCGAGGTCGTTGAGTAATCGAATCGAGATTTTCATTAAGTTCATCCCGAATTTTAAACTAAAAGTGTTTTGTTCATCGATCCGTTCCTTACGGCCGAAATATATATACCTTGGGAAATAAAAGGTTGTGATCATCTCTTTGCAACGTGCCGCAACGTTACGAAAAACAGCGAAGCACGCGAACCGGACAATCATTGCTGATGGAAAAGTTAGCTGCTAAGCTACGTGAAAGATAAACAAGAACTAATAGGTTCATTTTATCTCGACGGCATACAGAATATTCAATCTTGTTAATCTTCTCGTTCGACTCGAAATACGTTTTACGATAGACGCGACTGTACGATTTTATGAATTATCATTAAAGTTTGTACTAATGTTTTGCTATATTGCTTTTACGTTTTAAACGTAGAAAGTGTAAAGCGATTAAAAAAAAAATAAATCTTAATATTTAATACTCACCTTTTGCAGTTACAACCGATCATACATCGCAGCATCCAAAGCTTCGGGAAAACCAGATGCAGCAGACTATATCCTCGCATATTCGCAGCATATATCCTTGATTCTCAATTGAAGACTGTTGATATCCATGTTGTATACACACAACACACATACATATGCGACACAACACACGCACGAAACGATGATTGCGAGAGCATAACATCGGTCTACTAAATACTTCGTATGACCGTTCTCGCGATCTTTTATTTTCCCGAATTCAATTTTTATACGCCGAAATATCAATACTTTGCGACGATTTTCTGTTTCTGTAATCGGTATTTTTGCAGAAATTCTTGTCACAATCCATTCCGCAATACGATCACTCCCGGAAAATTACAAATTTGCTACTATAAACTCGTCGAGATACGGAAAATAACGCGTAATGTAAAGTAATACAAGTCGGCTCGAATGACTTAGATATGGCGGTTGACCTTGCAAGGCCGCAAACGATGGCCAACATAAACAACCGATCGCGCTCACGAAAGTCTTTCCACGAATCTCGCTTGCTACAATTCCAGGATGTTTTCATCCAAGCGAATTTCGTACAATCGCGTTCGCGGCTGATTCATTCTTGAATGTTATATCATCTGAAGCATGTATACTCACGGATATCATACATTCCGGTCGTCGCCGCGCAATAAATCCGTCGAAATATGGAAAAGAATACAATGATCGACATTCTCACGTCCGATCCAACTCCATTATAGTTGACTCCGTAGGGGTGCCAACTGATAGAAACGACCAATCGCGCTCGAGAAACCTTCGCCTATATTCAGACGAAACTCGAATTCTCGTGATTTCAAGATGTTTGTCATCCAACAAAATTTCGCACAATCACGTCCGCGATATAATACTAGCCGATTATTATCATCTTAAATTAATACCTTACGTGTTTACAGCAATTCAATCCTCCGGTTTAGTTGCAAAATCTGATGTCAATTCCGTCGTCTACTTACGACGAACCGCTAATAATCGCGAACACTCGCAATAAATAATACAATATGTTCCAACATTCGTTTGTCACTTTAATCGACACTGCCGACAAAAATTCGCACTCGCTATGCACTTTTAACGAGTAAAATACGCGATTAATCATGGAGCATTCCAAATTGACACATCGTAAAAACAAACTGTCATGATTGCGCGTAGTTTAGATTTATCGCCAATACTGCCAATATTTCAATCGAAATAAATTCGCGCTACTCGCGTCCTCTTTCCCGCCAGCAGTTTACTTGACCTACATGATTGGTCGATTTCCTTATGCATGTTTATTATGCAGCTTATGCAAATCATGTGAATATACCTTGTGACTATTGCGGTTACTTCCAGATGATGCTGCACTCTATCGGGGATCGTATGTAACAGCGTCAGTACTGTTCCAGCTTTCTTTCGGATTAATAGTGTAGCACTGCTTTGCATAGAAGAATCTTTTTTTCGACGATGGATGTGCGCAAAAACCTAAAAAAGAAAAGTAAACGCACGAACGATGCCATTGCAATTGGCGTCGCGACGCATACGTCTGCCGCAGTATGGAGATATCGCGGAGCGAGTACGGAAAAGAGAAGACGATCGAAAAAGCGCACACTATTTGCCGCCACCAACTTGGTTGTGTACGAATCACCGAACAGGTAGCATTGATGTCGCCACCTGACGAGCGAACAAACGTCATTCTTTGTTTTCGTGTTTACGGTTGCATATGTTCTCTCAAATTGCGCAAAACGTTTTTATCTTTCGTTCGGCAAATATCTATGCGAGTAAGGAACTAATGATAACGTGATTCCGTTAACATTTTCTTGTGGAGAAACGAAAAAGAAGTGCTTTTTTTCGAACAATCTGTCTCCGCTTGTTGTTAAACCGGCCGGCCGGCTTTTTCGCGCACCCGCACCAAGTGACAAAAATCTTGAGCAGACCAGCGATCAGAAATAAAGACGGGTAAAATCGATAAATGAATAAAAAATTTTAAAAGTAACAGTTATACTTTTGAATAATGAGTTCGAGTATCAGAAAAGAGGTTAGGTTAAGTTAGGTTATCATACTTACGAATTTTAAAGATTTTTTTTATTTTACATGTACAAACGATTGATTTCCGATAAGATTTCATAATCGAATTCGATATCATACACACTTAAAGATAATCTATTAAATAAAGCTCATTTAGTTCATATTAGTTTTGATGGATTGAGAAATTTATGAGATTATGAATTCTAAGTTTAAATTTGCTACTTTATTTTTTAAGAACTACGTTCAATCATGAAACTATTAATGAATCTTGGGCTGTTATTTCAATTATTACTATTATTTCGCTAGTACAAAACTAGTACAAATTTCGATCGCGAGCTGCTCAAGATCGTGGAATATCACGCTCTAGTGGCGTCAACATCGTTGCAACTTCCTTCCGGACCGCCTATGAACAGCACATAGAGGAATCTCCTGTCGAAGAACGGAAATCGCGAGTGAAAACCCCGAAAGAGGGAAGTAGTAAACCTGCGGACGACGCTGTAGCTTGGCGTCGCGGCGCATGCGTTACACTTGGCGCCGTGCTATCGCGATTTTACAGTGCAAGTGCGGAGAGGAGAGGAGACGATCGAAGAATGTGCACAGCTGGGCGATTGATCCTGTGCGGTTGGCATCGTGAGCTCAGTCGTATATGAACCGTCGAGTGAATCGTGTCGGTGTCGCCACCTGACGATCGAACAAGTTCCGAACAAGAAACACGATCGCGAACAGCCGTTTTTCACTTCATTTTCTCTTTTGTTTCTCTAAATCAAGTTTCTCGTACACAATCGAAATCGCTCGTGGTCTTAAAAAGTTTTTATCCTTCGTTCTCCAGATATCTGCGAGAAACGGACGGTAACGCAGTATCGCTATTATTTTGTCACCTCTCCGCCGGTGGTGGGCGGGAGTGAAGTAAGCGCCGTTTCGTGAACAGTCTGTTTCCAGAGAAGCACAACGACGAAATATACAGCCTGCGGTACACATAAATCTGCGCGTTACAAAGAAGAGGTTATTTGTTCCGTTCGACGACAACGAGGACAGGCAACGCCGACAAACGTGACGTAGGCAGCAGGAGCATGTGAAAATGGATTTTAAGAGCGTGGTGTATAACGCTGCGAGGGACGGCAAACTCAAACGGCTCAAGGTGAGTGCTTTTTACCACTTTATTAACACGCAATAGTTACGTGGCCGAAACACGGCTAATTTTGGTATTTCGAACTGAATGACTGACTCATAGCCCGTTAAAATCGGTACGATCCTAAAGTCAAAAGTTTGACGTCATATACACGTGAAGGTAATTTGTAATTAAGAGCATTCCGACTGATGCACATCTGTTTCCATGTGCAAAATAAGTGTATTCGGTTCATATCGGCTTTGATGAGACTAATTAGGTCGAGGAATGTTTCAAGAAACTGTATTGAATAATTACGCACAACGAGTGCGATATCGACGCGAAATAACAGTTCAGCTTCTCGTTTGCAATATTGTTGCAACGGTCTTCGAAGCTTTGTTCGTGTTTCGAGGTCATCATCTCGAAATGCGCTGCTTTCGGGACGGCTCGTCCCGAATAGGTTAATTCTCCATGTTTCTACGAGGTCGTTGCGTAGATCAAAGATGATTCACGTTTGATTTTACAACAAGAATTACCTTGTGAGCCATAGATTTTCTCGTTGTAAAGAGTAGATTTTTTTTTGTTTGATATGATCGAAATGAAAGTCGAGTAAGTGGAAGTTGCGATATTTCGTTATAAAAACAGCTCAAACAGTTTTTGTGCGTAAAATTCTATAACAAGGCTGCAGATTTTCTCTGCACAAAGCATGATTTTTTTCTTTGATGTGACCAAAATGGAAATTGGTGACGGTTGTTTGTTCGTCAAAAATGGATCAATTACTTTTCATGTGTAGAATGTGTGAATTCGCGACTTTATTTTCCGTTGTTTTACATTCACGAACTACAAAATTAACATACAAAGAAAAAGAATGCGAATTTCAGGTTATTATTTTGATTATAAGTCCGTTTCACTGTTACAAAGAAACGGTACATTCGAAACCGTTCTGTTTTGCTTTGTAAACAAGTGAGAGATCAAATCTTTGCTCGCGACAAGTAACAATATTCGTGTGACGCTTTCGGAGCACCATTTTTAAATCCATTTCCCATGTATTCACGGGAGGATGGCATTTTTGTGGATATGTGAACGAGAAAAATATCCATTGTGAGAGAAAACGAAAAATCTAAGATACTTTGCTTGCAAGGCGATTATGCTATTCAGATTCCACGCATTGAGTTTTTCTTCGCTTGCTTATACATAATTAATGACATGGTGCCTACATATATTTAAATGTAACATAGCTTTTAAAAATTTAACAGTAACATTTACAATTCTAATATGAAACATTAACGAAAAGAAAGGAAATTGTATATAAATTACTCGTGTTAATGGGAAAAATGGGATTAATAATATAAGATGTACAATATATATCAAGCAATTAAAAAATTAAAAATAATCTAAGTAGATAAATAATTAAAAACTGCTGCCATTACACGCCCGTTTAGATTGCAAATAATGTGATAATTTAGATATTCTACGCGACAAGTATACACATAAAATAGTCAAAACTGCGTTTTGCGTTTCTACGTTGGCGCACGAATTTAGGGTAAGTATTTGCAGCTCACGACGACATTATAAACGCGTCGCGAGCAGCTTATGAAACAGAAACGGCGAACGCGCAGGCTTGTCAAGCGTAATTTCGAAATTCCGCCACGTCCTATTACTATTAGAATGTAAAATAATTCACACACACACAAGAAAGTTTCCAATGTATAATTTTTAAACTCATTCAAGCAATTGATTTATCAAATACAATGCAATACAATATGCAATTTATTTATGGAAATGTAACATTTTATAAGGATTGTTAAGAAGTAAGGCTTAGCATAAACAAATTGAATTTTAACTTATTGACAAATTTGTCAATTTTGCTATTTTTATGTTAAATATTTTTGGACAATCAGGATAAATTAATTGAATTTGAAAAATGATTGATGCCATTTGTCACTTTTATCGAAACATGAAAATTAATTTCTAAGATTTCTTGGCTTTTGGTTTCATTATCGCATATTTATTAAGCATTTTGTGTAAATCTTCGTGATTTACTAATATCTTAAATCTTGGAAATCCATAAAATTTTTGTTGCCTGGTTTTTTTTTATGAATTTTTCGATATTTAAATATTCTTATTTGTGGAACGTCTTTGCAGCAGCATCGAAAGTTTTCTGCCGGCTTTAAAATTTCCCTGCTAATGTTATATTCGTGTTTCCTTACCGTGTCCGCGCGTTAACAGACCGTGTTAAAAAATCATCTCTAACGGTACTTCGTTTGCGTGCGATTCTGAAACATTTGCCACGGTTAACCCTGCAGTAATTTATGACGAAATCTTAATAATACGATGAGCATCGAATTCTATTAGATAAATATGTGAAATTTCGGAATATTTAATATATGTAATGTTCAGAATTTGATAGATATAGATAGATATAGATGTGTATTTGACAGATATTTAACATATTTGTTCAGAACTCTTATCACATTATGTTTTCACAATTTTTTGGTTCATTTGGAACTAATTTTTCCTAAAGAAAATGCGTTTATATGTATATTCATTCAGTCTAACAAAAATCACAAAGATCAAAGAACGTAAAAGTCATAATTTATGAATCTGTAGACAATAGCATTTTTAAAAATCAATATTACAATGAATATCAATATAATAATCTATGTGAATGAATATTATATAACTCCGTAGAAGTGTATATTCATACAAGTTTATGAATTTCAGTTTTATGTAACGATATCAGGTATCGAAGTCAAAGTGCTTTTCATAGATAGCTCAACTATATAGCTGAACTATATATTACTATTCATGCTGTATTTATACTGAGGGAATGTGTCTCGCTTCACTTTAATATTTGATATTCTCAATATTTACTGTTAATTAATTTAATTCCAGTTAGTCGATATTAAATTCTAATCGATTTGTTCAAACGGAACAATTGTTTCATTTACTCTTTGTTAACGATATCTCTTCGAAGAAAAACCTGTGGGAATGTACTCAATTGAGATTAATTTATCAGCTCGATAAAAGAGTGAGACACTGATAAAATAGTGATAGCAACAAAAATCGTCGTTGAACGAAATCCATCGCTTTCGGAAATCTCCGCGGCGAAGGCAAGAGACGTGCGTGCTTTTCTTCCCTCTTTACTCGCGTTTATCTCGAGTAGGAAATAGCCGCAGCAAACAGCAGTTATATTTAGTAGTGGAACGTCACACACATAGTCGCGTTTTACGGTTGAACTTGCCTAGTCGCGCGACCCTACACGTTTATCTCGCAACTGGTACGTGCGCGTGCGAAAAACATAGAAACCATATAGAATTAATTACAAAGAACTCAATGACGATCGCAGCGATTGAGCAATGCGAAGGCTGCGTCTTATTGACAAAATCAGTATTGCGCGTCTCTTTCTCTGTCAAGAACGGCAAATACGCTCTACTGCGACGTCAAACACTATGTAAATATACGCGATTAATGTGCTTCCGTTTGCCAGTATTCAGTTTCAACAGTCTACAAACAATGTATAAAGTACATTTTGTCCGAGCCATTAAAATTTTTCGATTAATTCCGAATTAAAAAAAGAAAATTACATATTCATGAACAAATAAAACGCGGCGCGTCTTGCCATAAGAACAGTAATCATATTAATCCATTATTAATGAAGTGTACGTACGCAATATGCGTACGAACTGTATGCATAAGAGAAAAAAAGGTATAGTGACTAATCTCCGAACGTCGTCACAAAGTCGCGTTCTCTAGGCTGATACTTTGCGATGCAATACGCAATTGAAACAATGATATATATTCTTGTAGGTTCTTCGGAGTTAATTGACCGACATAGAACGATGAATCGGTCGATAAAAGTCCACACTCTTAATCGCGATATTAATATTAATTAATATTAATATTAATTCATACAAAGCAATCAAAATGCAAATTGATTTACACGCTACCTGTCCCGTATATTATCATTGAATTATCATTTGTTTCTTCATTCACGATACAGTCTTCAATAGTTCGAAAATAAGATACTTTCATCGATGATGATGATGGGATTAATATCTACGTGCGAAAGTGTTTTCGACGAGCTTCACGGAGATATCTTATCGACAATCACTCATGATGATTAATTATTGACACTTTGAAATTATATTGTATAATAAATTTATCAGGATGTTTTCGCAGTTTGACTTTACCTTTAGTAATTCTTTGTATAAAGACGCGTTCCTGCTTCACTTTGCTTAAATTTATGATTTTTTTTACGATTAAAATGTATTTAAATTTATTATGAATTTTTTAATTATACTTACAAAAGCTTTCTGTTTGTCATGAATTCTCTGCTTTATATAGCTTATTCCGAAAATATATTTTTACATTTAGAAAAATTTATTTTTTATACTTGCAAATATTTTATAATACGTTTTATTACATTTAATTTGATATTAATTATCGCAAGTTTTCCAAATTAAATATTATTTTATTTTTTACATCGCAGTATTAAACAAAATATTTCTTTATTGGCTTCTGCGTTTTATTACGCATACAAATATATTTGTGCTTCTGGCAAATAATTTAATTATAATTAATTATATGTGTCTGAAATTAAAACAGCAGCGATTGAGAGGCAAGGAGTGAAATTAAATATTTTTTCCATGTACTTATTTGTAGTTTTGAGGGAAAGTATACTACCTGGCGGTTATTAATACTCGTTAGTAAATTAGTGAGACGTCGTCAGGCGCGCACGTTACTTGATTAATGAGAATTTACGAAGTAACTCTCAACGTAAATTGCCAATCGATCGTCAAACCGCGACTTGCCACGGCAACCGCTCGTATTCGAGAAATCTTATTCGAGAACCGAACTCGACTTCGCGGGTGACAGGATATATTTATCCATCCGCGAGTTTACTTAACCGTTATTGCGTTGATGCTGTTGCAATTCAAGACTGTACGTTATATACGCTCGCGTATGCATGCTAGCGTGGATGTCAATATAACAGCTGTTGTTAGTATAGCATAAGGTTATATTTTATTCGC